TTGCCAGCATTCGAATCTGAGATCTCCAATGTCCGAGCCGCTGCTAGAAGCTGATCCAACGTTTGTTCTGGATACTGCAATGCTTTCCTTCTAAGTTTTGATGACCTGCAGCTCTGAATTATCTGTGATTTAATCTCTCTCTCTCCACGTTATTAAACTCACAGTTCGACGACAGTTTCCTTAGCTTTACATGAAACGCATCAATGTCTATGTCATTGAATGCGCTTCCTGTTTTGCCTGAACTTGAAAATCTCGTACTCCACGTTGTTATGGGGTCTATTACGTACGCATCAAACGCAGCAAGTGCCTGGTCGCACGATTCCCCATGCAGTGTCCAGAGCAGTGCAGTGTGCAGTGTGCAGTGTGCAGAGGTGGGGTAGGTGAGGTAAGAAAGTAAAGCATAACATACTATAACTACACTACAGGTAGGTAGGTGGGTAGGTGGGTAGGTGGGTATAGGTAGGTAGGTAGGTAGATAGGCGGGTAGGTGAGTAGGTGGGTAGGGGGTGGGTAGTTGGTGGGTGGGTGCTTAGGTAGGTAGGTGGATGGGTAGGTAGGTGGGGTTCATCCCGCACTATTTAAACACACACGGTTAAACGACTCAGAATAACCTAACAACACAAACCTATATCAAGGTAAATAATTAGCTTGCAAGTAATTTTCGATTCTTTATCCGTTTCCATAGAGGTACAGCGCACTGGCAGCAAGAACAAGCCCGCACGTATACAGCACACACGCGGCCATTGACTATTATAACAACGGCTGTTATAATAGTCGGCCGTTAAAATAACGGTTGTTATAATAGTCGCTGCGCGTGTGCTGTACGTGCGGGCTTGTTCTTGCTGCCAGTGGTAAGCGGGTACGTTATTCATTAGCGATTAGGTGCTAACGATTTCCCGTTATTAAAAAGTGGAAAGTTGGTTAGAGGTTCAGTAACCTGTATGATACAGTCGTATGTTCCGCTTCACTACACTAAGCCCCCCCCCCCCCCGCCCCCGAGGAGAAAGCAGGACGAGGGAGTAATTATTAACGTTAGAGCTAGGTTCAGGGATCATTTATGCAGCCAGTAGTATTTCCTGAGCAGCCAATATAATATTATCAGGAGTGAATTAATAGATCTTAATAGATCTATATAGATAATAATAATCGATTATTATTCACTCCTGATATTATCATATTATAATTTAGTTAGTGGTTTGCTGTATTTTGTTTAGTAATTCGTAATTTCGTCAGTTTAACTGTCATAATATGTGCGCCAGTGACATAAACATCTCTGAAATAAATATTAATTCCGTTATTTTGTTTATGCGAGTTTTATCTACAAAGATTTATATTTCATGGTGTAAATGGTGTAAATGAAATATGTAATGTATATGTATGTATATGTATAAATGGTGTACGTATGAGTGTCAAAATGATGTTAAAGTGTAGCCTACCTTTATCACTGTACTTGTATAGACTCTGAAGTTTTTTTTTCTGGTATCAATTTTTTCTGCATGTTGTCGTAATCACTTTACTAGTACAGAATATGCTGAATTTTTTTTTTTTTTTTTTCTTTATGTTGTATTGCATTGTAATTGTACTGTATCCGTCAGAAATTTTATCATTTTAACTACTCAACACTATTGCTTTCATCAGATTTTTTCTCCATGAACAAAACTGTCGTCAGTACATGTATTTGTATCTGAATTCATGCAATAAAGATTTAATAATAATAAAAATCGTGATGCATTTTTAAGAGAGACACAAAATCAAATCCATTAGAATACGAAAGTTGTTACAAGTGCCTACACCCGAAGCTTCAATAATTATTTGTGAACACTGAACATACGCAATGCACACGCAGTTGGGTTATGCAGCATACAAACATACATCCATCCATACATCCATCTAACCATACATACATCCATCCACGCACACACACACACACACACACACACACACACACACACACACACACACACACACACACACACACACACACGCGCGCGCGCGCACGCACGCACGCACACACACACACGCGAACACACACATACATACACACACCGCGTAGAATGGTACGTAATTACCTTCTATCTACGAAAGAATATGCAGAACTGAGTTTCGTCCACTTACATAATTATGGTCAATCAAGAGCTAATAATACCTAGAGTGTACAACGGAAAAACGGGAAAATAGTGCTATTTCACGACAACATTATTCTACTTTACCTGCGCAGTCTAGGAATAATTTTATGGTATTGCAATTAAGCAGAATTCTTGATCTCTAAAACAAGACCAACGCTTGTAATACGATACTCATAGGTTGAGATATTGGCTCCTAAACCTCTCTCCACATGCCTCACGCCTGCTCGCATCCCGGTTATTCAGCTACCTCAACGCCCCTAAGCATGCTTCGTGAAAGTTCGGTTTTTCCGCGATAACTTTATGAATGAACGGCTTTTCGGTTATCATAGGTGACTTTCGGGGCATCGCCTATGCCCTTATCTCCCATTATCTTTCCTAGCACGGCTAATGCCGTCATGATGGAGCCGGCAATGTTTTCTAAATTAAGTCTTTACAACGCAGCCTCAGTTACTATATGGTGTAGTAAGAGTACCAAATTTGGCATGTGACATCATTATCAGCGCTCCAAGCGTGACGGAAACCGATAGCCAAAATGCTTAGGGCGTTGAGGTAGCTGAATAACCGGGATGCGAGGCGGCGTGAGGCATGTGGAGGGGAGGTTTAGGAGCCAAATATCTCAGCCTAGGAGTATCGTATTGACAAGCGGTTGGTCTTGTTTTAGAGAGCAAAGAATTATGCTTAATGTAATACCATAAAACTATTCTAGACTCGCAGGCAAAGTAGAATAATGTTGTCGTGAAATAGCACTATTTTCCCGTTTTTTCCGTTGTACAGGTATTGTATAGTATACTCTAGGTATTATTAGCTCTTGATATGGTATTATTTATTGGTATTATGTATACTGAACTCTGACCTCTTTGCGCCACATTACTTTCTGATATGTTGTTTACGTTTAAACACTGCAGAGGCATGCTCGTGTGTTGAAAGTATATATACAGCTATACCTATTGCTTACATGTATGCATGATACACCGCGTGTGTATGAATACAAAGAAATGTTATCTTGTATATTATATTGCACATCTCTATATGCTCATTGATACGTGCGTTTCTATGTTATCTTCTTGGATATATTCAAGAACGTATAAAGAAGGAGAGCGTATAACGGTGAAATGCTGAATCCATGTTGCAGTACGTATTAGTCAAATTAATAAACTTTCCCCGTTTTATTTTGACGATTCTTTGCAGTATTATTGATCAGCTGTCCTACCTTGTTAATATCAAACACACCGCATGTCCCTATACTACGATGCCTCTACGCTGAGATAATGAGCGGTGAAAATCTGGTATTTTCGCCGAAAACCAACTCGAGATCAGTGTTTTACTGCGACTGTCTCTCGTTTTGTGGACTGTATGTTGCTTCCGGTCGCCGCTGTGTAGCGCTGACTCGATACGTTATTACTACAGCATTACTACATCCAGC